CCCATTCCCTGAATTTCCAGCTATCCACTCCCAGCTCCCCTGTCCTGGCACGAGGGGACAGCAGCTGACTCACTGCTGGGTGAGACATGTCCATGGACCTGGACAGGATGAGATCTCTGGGCTGGTGAAAGGTTTACTTTTCAAACCTCTCACCCCACAGTCTTGTGAGGGTGGCAATCACTCAGCACCTCAAAAACCTTGTAACAACCCAGAGGACAGGGCTGGCATCAATGTCCCAGGGAAACACAGATGGAACTGGTGAAGGAATTGCTTGGCCAAAATAGCAGAGCAGAGTAACAGCCAAAAAATGAAACTACCACTGGTAACAGCCCAGATTATTCCCCCACCAGTGCTGGCTTCTTTCAGACCTACCAGGAATTCATTTTGCCTTATAATATTCAGGGAGCACAGAAGCATGAAATTTGATTTCTTTCTCCTGAAGATGCTGGAGATTATTTTAATTCTAACTTGGTATCACTGAAAGAAAGCTCTTATTCAGTGGTTTAATATAATGTCTTTTAGTATCTGTTGCAGCAATACAATCTCTGCTTTCTTTCCTATAAATGTACTAATCTCACCAAAAGATATAATTTGAAGAGTAGAATGAAGTGGAATAAAAATATGCAGCAGCAGGCAAATGTCCTTTTCAAACAGGAACCTGCTCTGAGCTATGTGCACTCTGTTCCATCAGATTACACAGAGCAACAATTCAAATCTCAGCCCCAGTGATCAGTATGGAGAGCAGAAAATGTTCCTTCAGCCTTCCCTGGAATTTGGTATGAGCAGATGCACAGGAGAGAGGCAGAAGCAAAAGCAGCCAGCAGGGGAGGTGAGATCTATCAGAGAGGGGCCACCAGATAAAGAGGGAAAAATTAGAGAACTGCCTTGGCAGAGAGAGCCAGGTACACAGAGAAATGATTCACTGGGTTAAAAACAAAACCAAAAGCAGCAGGGATAACAGGGCAGAACACACAGTGGGAAACACATCCAGAAGATTTACACATTTATTGCCTGCTTGAAACACATTTCTAGGGGCTAACAGGCCAAATTATTTCTGCTTGAACTCAACATTAATTAAGAAAGACTTCAGCTGCATTAGAACATGCAGGAGAAATACCACTGTTCCCAGTTAAATGATGAAAAATTTAGGTGAATAAAAGCAGAATCAGTCCCTGAATGGGGTCTGGAACTAGAAACACTCTCCCAACAATGATGAAAGATTAAATGACTGAAAAAAACACTGCCCCAAGTACCCCCACAGGACCCCAGAGTGTTCCACAGCAGGGTGAGACCACCCAAGGCATGGGGACTAATGCCAGTATTTAATAAAAATCGATTTTAAAGTACAACAGCTTTATTTCCACCTGGCAAGTACTGCAGTGAGCATATCAGTATTGCCCAGAAGATTAATCAGTAGTTCAAGAGCTACACAATAAAGGATTGTTTGGTTTGGGTTTTTGTCTCCTTAAAACAAGACTTCACTGTTCTTACAGAGACAGGGAGAACACTTTGGCTGTAACTGTTTTGCCTCTAGAGAAATTAAAACAAAGAAGTTAAGAAATACTTGGGCAAAGCAGACAAAGGCAGTACTTTTGCTCATTTAAAGAAAAATCTTATTTTAGGACAATTAAACTTTGGAAGAAAAGGTTCTTTCAGGAAACACTTCCTATTGCAATATGAACAAAATGTACAATATGTACTACATTCAGAGTTATGCTTTCCCTTCATGAGAGACAAAATTGTCTGTCTTCATCATGACTTCTTAGGTTTTTCTTCTGATTTCTCATTTATCAGGTCTTTAAATCCCAATTTTTCCAGTGGTTCATTAGCCATAAGTTGCCTAAGTAAAAAAGAAGAAAACAACAAAACACATTTTAGAGAACAAAGCCTCTCTCTTGGTTAGACAACAGCAGCATTTTCTCTTTCATTACTATTATTTACCCTAAACAGATCTAAGAGATCTATACAGAGTGACTGCTGTTTGACAAGACCTCAGAAAATTCAGTTTAAGGAAAGCAGCACTCAGCAATTATTTTTCCTCCTTATAGTGGTTTTCCAATTAAATGTGTTGTTTCCCCATTTTAGGTACTGAGTAAGAGTTTCTAAGAAAAAGACCTGACTCCTAGTTATTTTTAATTAACACATTGCATAAGAGCTTCCTAAAATTCTACCAATGCCATTTACACTCTCAAGTGAGTCTGGTTTAGAACAGCCTTTGTGGTGCCATTAGACCTGGCTGTAGTGATTTTCACACTAGTTTTTGATCTGCAATGTACTTTCCCTAGGTACAGAGAAATTTCTGCATTTTTCAAAGTTCCCTGACTCACTCTTGTACAGGAAGGATTGCAAAGCAATGCCTGAATGGAAACATCCCTGGAAAACCAATCACCAATTCTTTCTTCACTTGAACTGACTACAAAAACTTTTAACTTACCTGCTTTAAACATATTTCTAAGGAGCTAACAGGCCAAATTATTTCCACTTGAACTCAGCATTAATTAAGACTCAATTGCATTAATATATACAAGAAAAATACCACTGCTCTGGTAATTCTTTGTTAACTTACACACAGCACTTGTAGGCATCTTGAACACAGTCAGCTCTTATTGAGCAGGCCAGGCAGAGGGTGAGCAAAGTTAAAAGCTTAACTTGTAATCACAGCTGAAAACAAAACAAACAAAAAAAAA